GAGGCGGCGGGCATCGGATCAGCAGACAAGGTGTGGGGGAAACTAAAAAATGGCGGAAAATTGGAAGCACTGAACGTTAGATCTATAGAACGAAGACACTTCCTTTTTTCCGGACCCGTGTCCGAATAACATTTTTTCTTATTCGGACTCGAGTCCGAATATGAAAAAATGTTATTCGGACTCATGACGGCCCATAAAGAAAGCCACTAAAAGTAAAACTGTCGCAATCAATTATTTTCAAGAAAATTTCAAATCTATCATCTGTAAAATATAAAATTATGGGTTAAAATGGGGCATTCCCCCCTGTAACCCCCCATATTTTCTTTTACCCCTGTGGGGCAAGCCCCCATAGAACCCCCTGATTGTTATAAGGGCCAGCTCTATTCGGACTCAAGTCCGAATATAATTTTTATCTATTCGGACTCGGGTCCGAAAAAAATGTTTAACTGTCGTCGGGGGATTTTACGTAACACCAGAATTAGGACCAGAATTGCTTACTAGGATTGTGTAATTGTGTCAAAAGTCAAAAGACTGCACTCTCATTAGATCTACCCAATGGCAGTGTTTAAGTACACTGTGTTACCGACAACTCAGTGTCTTTCCCCCACCACTACAGACTACAGCATCATCATTACTTCCACCACCATTTTTCTTTCCATATATAATAATAATGTTGTGTGTTATAGTTTTTCTGTAATTTTCTTTTCTTTTATCACATCCCACAAAACCGACAGCTGTGGCTTCTTCCCCCAGCGAGCCGAGAGTGCGAGATTGCTACACACAGTCTTATTGGTCGACATAATTAACTTTGCCCCCCCGGCAAGGCCAAATCAACTTGATTGTTCTGTTCATACTGATGATGCAGGGAGCACCAGTTTAGATATATATATTAGATCTAGTAACTGGAAATTCAAGCTCACGTCTCGACTGTTATCATTATAATTGAAAAAAATGTTTGTAAATGCTGGAAATATTTAGGAACAAGGGTCGGAAGTCGAAACGGACTTCATGCTGGACTCAATTCAGAGTCCGAATATAATTTTTCTCTGTGCAGACTGGAGTCCGAATAGTCACTTCTTTTGATAAAACCTCTCTCCCTCACTCTCTGTCTCTCTCTTACAAACATTCTCTGTCTCCATCTCTTCTCTCTCAAAGTTTTATACAGACCCGGTAACCGGGAACAAAGTCACAAAGTATACAGACCTTTATTTTAAAAATCCAACGTTTAAACAATATTTCTTTTCTCCTACAGAGTTAAAAAAGTGTTTTTTAAATTTTGGAATTCCGAGAACCAATGGGCTATATGTCCTCCTTTGGACTCGACATATTTTAATGCTTCTTTCGGAATGTTCAGTGGTGGCCAAACACAAGGATCCACTCAACCATGAGTACTTAAGCTGCAGACACTGTATACCTTACAGTATGGAGTTGTTTCTAGAGACAAAAGGGGGGGGGGGGGGGGTTTTCCCAAATAGACAGCATTTGTGCAGCTGAGAGGAATGTTCATGCTTTTCAAGACGATTGAGGAATCATGAACACATTGCTATCCTCTGATAGCGGGCTGTAAGGGTTGAGGGTGAAACCCCAGACGCTCTCTGGCAAGCCAGCCTCAACCAAGTCAACTCCCCGTCCTTGTCGAGCAGCCTGGGGACCCCTGCTCTGTGCATAGGAGCAGGGGTTGCAGACGGAGCTCTGGCAAGGAGGTACTATAGCCCTGTGAGGTGCGAAGTGAGCAACGACCCTTCTGCTCGTAGACGGGTCCATACACATCCGCCATTATGATAGGTCTGGCGTCACAGCAGGCCAACCTGTTCATTCAGAAACTTACTGTCGACATCTTCTTCCCTCCCTCTCGTGGGAGCTCTACAGATGGGGCATGGTACCCCCAGACTGCCAGATGACTCATCGTGAGATGTCTCTGCAGACCCAGAAGGCCTTGTAGTTATAAGGAATAGGCTGCCTGGAAACAGATGACGTCCCCACAGATATCATGGCAAAAACTCACAGACCCATGACGTGACGATCCTCTGTCTGAGTAGATTTGGCCATCCTTTGGATTATTCTGCCCCATGAACGGAAATGGTGAAAGCAGATAGCCAGGAGACAGCAGGTGGCGGGGATTGATTGGGCAAACGCAAGCTACACTTGGTGATGTGGACGACTCACTGTGGAAGGAACGCGTTACCCCTTACTTAATGGGACCCCTTACTGGACTGCTCAGACGATCACTAGTCATTGGTTGGACTTTGTGGCTCCCCTCTCTCAGAAATAGAGTGTGCCTACACTCCCCCTATAATTGTCTACTATCCTAAGAAATCCCCGTGAAGGTTGATGGAGAAAATGTGATCACATTCACGAGAGTGGCTGATCTTTGATGAGATGGGCAGTTCAATGATCTCAACTTGTCACTCTTGGTTGATTGGCTGTGCCTGCCCGAGTTTTTCCCCCCGTAAATTATGATCTGAAATGCGGGATCTTAGCGGAATATAGACTTTTTGAGTGAATCAGAGTGGGATCTTAGGGGCGACTTTTGTGTAGTAAAAATTCTGTTTTCTTAAAACGGCGAGATCTTAAGCAAACCAGGATGGTCAGCGATGGGATCTTAGGCGGAGACTACTACTGTATATGCACCCTTTTGTTGTCAAAATTTACCCATATGTGAGGCAGCGTTGTGAAATCAGGCGCTTGTCAAAATACAGAAATCGGAGAAACTGGCCTTTTCCCGCCAGTTTAGAATATTGTTTTTTTTTGCCTCAACCTCCATGTAAAAATACATTTCCTTGTGAATTTTAAGGAAAACATTGATTAAAGGCACTAAATATGTCATTTTTCTATTTTCAAGGACTCTTTAGCATTGAAGTTACCAAACTTTGACGGCCATTTTCTCGATAATTTCACCACTGAAACCAGGCAACCCCACTTCCTTCAATCACAAATATCTTGAGTTCTATTCAAGGTATGGGTATTTATTTCATTGCAAGGCAAATAAATCAGCTTTCAGGTGATACCAATAACTCAAAAAAAATATTTATGAGCGCCTGATTTCACCACGTTGTGACACATACAGAAAAGCACAAGATTATACTTAGTGTTCATCAGCTGACCTGTTGGCGTAGGAACTTCTCAGTAAGGCTTCACCCCTATGCGCTCGCTGCTCAGTGTAGGTTTTTCATTGCATCTTTGCGTGAATGTAGATGAATCCGATATTATAAGTTCTTTTCACTCATGCATCACAATGTTAGTTATTAAAAGTTTTCCAGTTATCAGAATCCCCTTTACTCTGTTCTATTTTTGCCTGTGGCTTAGCTCGCAGCATTTTAAAAGGTTTTGTCTTGGCAAATTTGTCAATTGTTTTCTTCTTGTTTTTTCTAAATCTCCAGTGAATTTGAGCTTGAACTGAGAACCTATTCTGGCTTTGATCCTTTTGATGTGTGGGATAGGTAAGTGCAGTTTGGTTGCAATTGCTATTTTATAGAAATTCTGTTTGTAGTATGGACTTACATTTTCTGTATTGTAATTCAAATGAGATTTTGCTAATTCTAATTCTATCTTTTTAAAGACAGGGAGAAAAACTTTTCAAAATGAGCATCTGGGTTTTAGATTACAGACACCAATATAAAGGAGGAAGACTGAATCCAAGTGTAAAAGGGGATATGTTGTTGCGAGTTGGAGTGTAGGGCTACACAGTAATATGAACTGCAGATCAGAAGTTGCAGTGAAGCTGATAATTTAGAAGTTGTAGTGAAGCTGATAAAGCCAGTTAAGGAATAGTCTTTTAATCAAATTTGATGAATCAGCTTGGCGTGCCCTGTCTTTTCAGCTAAAGTAAATGTTAAGAGTTCAGTTACTTTGAGACAGTAACATTGCCTCACTGCATTTTATCGATTTGTCGAAAGAGGACAAATCCATAGCATTTTGGCTTTGACAGACAAGTTTGATAGGTATTGTTCTCTCTGTAGGCTGTGGAGACCTTTTAATAATAATGAAAGTGCATCCTGTTTGAATTTGATGGTGTTGGTTGCCTAGTGGTTAGGCTCTTGGACTTGCAATTGTCAGGACGTGAGTTCAAATCCCATAAGGGACCTGACGTTGTGTTCTTGGGAAAGGCATTTTACACGAATTTTCCTCACTTCACTTGGGTGGGAATGGGTGAATGGCTATAGACAGCGAAATATTTGGTCAGTATGTATGTTAGTGTTTGAGTGGGTGTCATTCGCAGCTTGCACTGTGCGCTTCCCGGGAAGTTGAGAATGTTTCTGAGTGTTCTATGTTCTGCTGGGATAAATCGGTAATAATGATTATAAAGTGCATAGAACAGTAGAGTGTGAAAATGCGCTGTATAAATGAAATTATTATTAGTTTAGTGGAAAATTCACAAATATGTTGACATGACTTATAAAATAAAAAATTATTTTTTTTGCTGCTTGTTTTACAATTCAAGTGTTACTGAAGAGAAGAACAATTTTTCCTTCTCTGTTGCCTAGGTACATCAAATGGACTGAGCAGTACTTCCCTAAAGGTGGTCATGATGGACATCTCATGGCTCTGATTGAAAGGTGCTTGAAAGAATTTCAGTCAAATGATGTATACAAGAGTGATCCACGTTTCATTCAAGTATGGATTCGATTTGTAAGTAGTTTTTGAATAAATACATTTATATTATGATGTTTTTGGCTGTTTCAACTTCAGATGGATGTTTGCTAAATGTCTTTGAGTTTAGTGGCTTCTGTTGTTTGGACATTGTTATGTCATTCAGTCATGCTGTTAAATGTTGTATTCAGTATTCACGATCAGGTGTCAATTAGCTGTTAGTCAATAAATCTGTGACATGTGCTCAACATCCGTTGAGAGTAGATGCAATCATTAGAGTGATTTGATGTGTAAAATCCAGAGGCGTTGCTGGAATTATCAACATTTTTTTGGAAAAGGTGCAGCAGGCCTACATTATTTCTGATATTTTGGGCTATAAGAAATTGTGTACACATTGGGTTCCCCTTTTGCTTTCAACTGAAATGAAAGAAAACAGAAAGTGGATCTGTGTAGAACTTTTGATTTGTTATGTATTGGAAAGTGATGGGTGTTTTCGGCGCAATGTCACGGTTGTGACCTATAAAAACATGATCATCCATGGATTTCAGGCATTAAGGTTCACCAATAAACTTCACGCTCCACAGAGAAAGTGTTCTTGTCAGTTTTTTAGGATTATGTTATATCATGTTCAAAATTTAATGATTTTTAAGACCTGTGGGCTGCGAGCGCTGTGAAACCCCATACTAAACTAAAACCATAAGAGCTATGGTGTCATAATATGTTCATTTTGACTTGTTCACCTCTAATGTTTGACAGTTCAGTTGTATACAGGTCAAAGCATTGTCTGTTTTCAGGCTTGCTCATCTGAAGACCCAGTGGAAGTGTTTACTCACATGTTTGACAATGGCATAGGACTCAACGTGGCAGCCTTCTACTGTGAGTGGGCCACAAGCTTGGAGCGGAGAGGGGACAACAAAAATGCCGATGTCATCTACAATGAGGGCCTGAAAAATGCAGCTCAGCCCAGGAGTATACTGCTACAGCGTCACCAGTAAGCATTTAATTCCTTTCCTGTTTGTTCTGTTGAGTATATGTTTGTGTATGCCCGAGTGAGGATTAATGAAGTATAGCTTTTTCCAGTGGTAATAGTGATATGCTGTTGTCTCTGCAGTAAAAATAACAGGGAAAAGTTTTTCAGCTTTTTTTTTCTTTTTGTTTCGTACTCTTGTGTGTGTGCCTTTCCCAACATGTTTTCATGTACGATAATTATTTTTATATGTGTGTTCTCTTCCGCAGTTGTTCATACATTTGTGACCATTTTTCTTTCTCACTGTTCTGATGCTGTGAATGAAGGGACGTTGTTTTTATTGCAGACAATTCCAAAATCGAGTGGCTCGTAATATCACGCTTCAGATTGCTGAGGGCCAGAATCCTGGCATGGATATGGGAGACCAAGAGGAACAACGTTTAGTTCTTGGACGTCTGAAGGCTGCTAAAAAATCGCATAAAGTTGGTACTGAGAGGACTGGGGCAGTTAGCCAAGGTTTGTATGTCCCAAATGTATTATGGTTCTTTGTATCACTTTGTCTTAGAATACTTTCAGAATCTTAAAAAAATATTTTTAGTTCATAAGAACTAACTCATGTTTAAGGCAGAAGAAATACTGACCAAGGTAACTAGTTTGGCCAGTAGTACATTCCTGCAATGCTACGATTGTTTTAGAACTCATGATTCCCAGTCCATTTTCATTCTTTCCTATATCTTTGGCTGCTTCCCACTTTCTGTACCTGTTACATGATATTACTATGCAATCAATAAATGTTTGAATGTTATAATTTCTTACTGCCTCTCCAGGACCTGCTGGGTGTTTGAAAACATCTAAGCAATCTGCGCAGAAACAAATTCCCGAGGGTAGGATTCAGATATATGATGATGAAAATGCCCCTCCTTCGGTTCACTTACAACAAACACACGAGTGGAAATCAATACCCACAAGGGCTGTAGATAATAGAGAAAATGAGAGGAAACCAGGAGTGTGGACAAAAGCTAAGGTAAAAACCATTGTATTCCCACATGTATCTGATTTCCATAAACATTTAGAGTAAGAGCTTTTGGTCGTATATCCCTGCTACTGAGGGCTAACGTGACTTCACAATAACACGTTTGCAAATTTTCCAGAATTCCCGGGACTGGTTCAGACTTGACAATCTTGGAATTTGAGAGGATGTTTACAACTCTGCACCAAATCAGTCCTACTAGATGTAGTTTTGTTTGTTGTCATGTAACTTGATGTCATAACTTTTGGTGTCCCTGACTGAGTTTTGAAAAAGTTGGCAGGCCTGCAATAATCATGTTGTCATGTTTGTTTATTCAAAGTTACCATCTAGGTCTCTTGAGGGGGGGATGCAGCTTTGCTACCAGTTACATGCTCAGTGCTGTCATTGACATATTTTTGTGTCTACGGATTGCCTTCTGGTCTTTTCCAGATGAATGAACTGAAGAAAATAAAGTGAAGTATCTATGTGACCATGCAGTTTCACTGGATTTTGAATAGTTTGATTGTTTACCGCTCTCATGAATGCAGCCAGTAGCTACTGACTGATCATGGGCATGGCAGCATGCTTGAACTGAGTTGATGTACCTCATGCTGCAGGCGCTCTTATAATGATAGCATAATATTTTGTCCTTAGTGAGTTACATTTCTTCTCTTTTTGTCATTGATTTTTAAAAGCATCAAACCTTCCAAGTTGTGTTTTAGGTATAGAATGCGCAAAATTTGTTTTGGACGCTTTTGTATATGTGCATACATTCTGAGTCATTATTTTTTGGTTTGCAGATAAAACAGAGGCCTGTAGCTCCACCAGGCAGTGCACCCTTTGTAATTCATGAAGACCCAGACAGCGAACTCCCACAGGAGTATGTTTTGTTCTGTTCTTCTGTTTTTCTGTGGCTTTTTTTTTATTTTTAAATAATGTTTTTGGGTGTGTTTGTATTCAGTTCAGCTCTGTGTGTGTGTATTTGTGTATGAGAGAGAGGGGGGGGGGGGGAGTTGTCTCTTCCTGATTATTATTGCACCAGTTTATTTCTTTCCTTACCTTACCTCACACGTTTTTGTGTGATTGATCAGCTTGTTCAGAATCTTTGTAGTATTTGCTTTCAAGGCATGGGTTTTTGAAGATAAGGGCATTTCAATTTCAAATATGAATATACATTTTTTGTTTATAATACCATTACCTCCATTGGTCTGTACCTACATAATGATTATATAAGGCTTGTTTATGACATTTCTTGGTTGATTTATGTGATATATGTGAGTTGTGATCAGCGCCTAGCAGGCAGCAGTGCAACTGGCTCTGCATGAATGTGCCAATTTCTCTGTTTTCGAAAGGATTTGTTTTTTCAAGGTCATGGACTGATAGAACTTTCAGTGCTGAACATTTTGGTGCTAAAATTATGAAATTCTGTAAGGAATCAAGAAAGTTATTCCACCATTTTGGTGCCATGTTTGCCCTTTTCTTGGTCTCACCGGCCATTTTCCACCTTCAACAAGCCCTGAGACATGTTTTCACCCAGCTGTCAGTAGACCCAGTTTACTCCCAATCTGGCTAGCAAACTGCCCCGACCAGAGGCGATCCTCCAGTGGGCACCCCGTATTTACTCTTTATCTCCGGCAAGTCTCGTGGTTGGAACCACTGTGCCGGTGAGCCGCTATAAAGATCAAACTTCACAAACATTCAAGAACTCATTGTTCCATACACACCATCACGTGAACTAAGATCCAGTGGCTCTAGACTAATTTCAACACCTTGTGTGTCACTGAATAAATATGGTGAGAGAGCTTTTTCTTTTCTGGGCCAACAGTTTGGAACACCCTCCCTCATGATTTAAGGACCGAAATAAAACTTTATACCTTCAAAAGGGGACTCAAAACACATCTATTTAAGAAATATTTTAATTAATGGACAGTACCTTGCCTTTTTGTATGGGCATTTTTTATTGTCTGAAAGAATGTTGCTGTCAAAATGTGCGCACATGATGAATTTGTATGGTGTTAGTATGAATGCGTTTTTAATCTCCTATGTACGCCTTGGGCCCATGTTGTGGGGAAAAGGCGGAATGCAAATGCTCTTATTATTATTATTATTATTATTATTATTATTTCACAAGAAAATAAATCTTATGTTTATCTGATCCCATTTCAGAACGCCAAGGAAGACAACTTTGATCAACAATCAACCTTTGAGGCAAGCATTTATTTGAAATATTAATGACTTTAATGTCAGTGAATGAATGATTGATTTTATGGCTTGTTATTGGCTGAGATAGGTAAGTGGGGCACATGTGATGATACAGAAGTTATGGAGGGAATGCTTTTTTAACTCAGCTCTGAAAGAAAAGCACAGCTCATGTTTGAAGTGATAGCCTTTTGTGGTGCACATTTTGTCCTGTTTTAGATTAGCATAGATGCTAACCAGTTTGTCAAATACAATTTATGGGGTCTGAGTACGGAGATCTGTATTCGACATATTTTAGTATTGTTCCTCACGGACTTGCTGATGTTGTGCATTACAAACTTTCAAGACCGGATTCATGAATAATATTAAGAACGATGCCAATAGGTCGACTGTGTTGTAATTGTGTCTGTTACTATAGCTAGCTATTGAGCTTGAATTTATTGAATCCAAGAAAATGTGTGAAGGGTTGGGAGGCTTCTTGTCTAATGCCCACCATCTTTACGTACTGTGTGGTAGAGTCTCGGAGCGGTGCCACTGACTGAAGTGTCTTTAGGCCATTCCCAAAAGGGGGACATTTCTCGTTCAGGCACAGTAGAATTGTAAATGAGCTGATTCATCAATGTCACGGTCATAACTGTGCCTGATCTACAACAGGGAACTACTGCTTTTTCTTTCCTAATCTTTACTATTGTAATTTCCCTACACTTCTTTTGTATGTTTGTCACACTCTTGTGACCCGCTATTTCCGGGGTGCCTTGAAAGTCGAAACAGACTTTGTGCTGTTGAAGCTAGAGAGGTGAGCAGAGTAAGCCTGACTCCCTGTAAAGACGTCTCTGTTGACATCCACCCCTTGGCACTCATATGACCTTATGCAGTTGCGAGTGCCGTAAAACCTCTACTAAATAAAAAAAAATTGAGTGTGTTTTTTTGGTTTTGAAAAGTTGGCAGCTATGGATAAGGGTCTTGATCCGGGTCTTGATCCAACAAATTAAAACTTCTCTTAACATTAACTTTTGCAAGTGATGATATTTGGTTTACTTGTGGTTTCAACCCAAGACATAGCTTTTTAAAAAAGAAAAGTCAAAGTAGAGTGGAGGAATTTCTGTAAAGTGAGTAAAGTAGTGTAACAAAACTTTTAGACTTCCAGGAATAAAGTAAAAGTAATGAAAAAGGTGGCTTGAGTAACTCAAGTAAATGTAATATAATGTAGCTGACTTCTAGTTGTAGTATAATCAAAGATAGTACAGCCTACGATAAGATGCTGCAGCTCTCTCTTTCCCTATGTAAAAAAACGTAGCACGCGTAAAATAGGCCACGCCCCCTGCGAGCGTGTGACTGAGCTCCGATGGCTTGGCCCTGGGCTTGTTGGATAGAGTACATTATGAGAGCGTCCTAGTTAATCCTACTCTACTCTAGGTCCCATTCTATTCTAGATCTAGATCTAAATTATTATATTATAATATTATAGATCTATCTACCAAACTAAAGAATTGATCAACGTATTTCAATAATTTATCTACATCTAAATTATTTTAAAAGAAAAACATTAGATTTTAAAATAGTCTCACTTCGGTAACGAGTGATAAGATCAGAGGATAAATCTAGTGTACCGGTATCGGGCACCGGGTGTATAGGCTCCCGATCTACTAAATCTTAATCTAGATCTAGGCCTAGACATTGACAATCACGAAATCTAGGCAGCGAGTATATCCAATGCAATATTATTGATCGTATTGATGAGATATATTATTGATCGCATTGATGAGAAAGTATTGATGACCTTTAGGAGTATGCATTATTAGAAATCAAAAGATAGTGTCAATTAGTATTAACCAGGGAACACTGCAATAGCTGGAGAGAGAGAGAGGGAGAGGGGGGGGGGAGGAGAGAACTACTAAGCTACAACAGTTAAAACGACAAACAGACGCACAGAGAGATAGATGAGTGGGCGACTGAGTGAGTGAGAGAGGGAGAGGGAGAGGGGGGGGGGAGAGGAGGAGAGAACTACTAAGCTACAACAGTTAAAACGACAAACAGGCGCACAGAGAGATAGATGAGTGGGCGACTGAGTGAGTGAGAGAGAGAGAGAGAGAGAGAGAGAGAGAGATTACAACATAGAAGTGTCTTATTAACTCGCTCTCTCTTTTCTAAGGGCTCACGCTCTCCTAGCCTTGACAACGAGGTGAAAGTTTACGACACTTTCCCCAGTGATACAGTCACCTGTGCACTCATTGGACCTTCGTCAGGTGCTTTCAATTTTCCTCGACTACACCCCTGAAACCAGCTCATCAAAGACGAAATGATAATATGCTTGAGGTGCTGAGTGTGCCCCTGAGATTTAAGTGTTATAAATCACAGCGAACTACTTCTAAGGCTACTTTTTCATCAGATGAAAATTAGTTAGAAAAACTTGAGGTGAAACGGTTTCGTCCCCGCCATCCAGGAGAATCTAGAGCTAACTTAGAATAAAGATATGGAAAGTTGATTCTCCCCGTTTAAATGTTTCTTAACATGCCGTGGCTCACCGTGAGTATAGAAAAATAATCACTGTTGAGCTCTTAGTGCTTGATTTTTTTGTAGTAAAGAAGTGGAACCAACCTAAGCCCCACCCAAATATTGGTCCACCCACCCCCACTGGATGGTTGTGGAGGTGGTTTTTGTGATGTGCATAAAGATGATTTAATGATGATGAAGTGATGGTGGCCGTGATGATGATAAAATGTACAGAAGTGGTCAGGACATATGGTGTGTGTGTGTGTGTGTGCGTGCGTGCGTGCGTACATGTGTGTATGAGTATGTGTGGGGAGAGAGAATTGAATTGAATTTGACTTGATTGACTTTCGAGGTCAATGGCCCATACGTCATAAAAAGTTACAAGTTAATATGCAAAATACTGATCTCTGTGTGTTGTGCTAAAGAACAAATTACATAATAACAGACAACACAGAAAATATAATATAGATATATATATATACATAACATTTGCATCTAGAATCTAGTTCTACACCTAATGGAATGGGCCCTCACAAAACAAAGTATATAGTACAAAGCATTGGTCATAGTCATGGACACGTGATGCAGATTGTAAACAAAGCTTACAGGCTGGACTCTGATCTCTCTCGTTCAGCTCTAATCTAGACTCTAGATTAAAAAATCAATTTCGCATTGTCTTTCCATTTTTCGTCCTTTGGGAATCTGAAGAAAGTTTTTCCTCTGGAATTAAAACCGCCGATCGCTGAACAAAACTGGCCAGTAATGCAGACAGCATAGAGCGTTGCGTGTCTCTCGCCGTGTTTGTTTACATACTGTCGCACGCTCGCCGCTAGTGGCGCTAGGAGTCGACGTGCCTCACAAAATTGGGCCACTGCAACATCTTACCCTAGGCTGTACTATCTTTGGTATATTGATACATTTTCTTAGAACACATTTCCTTTTTTTTTTGTAGTTGAAGTATGAACATTGAAAAGAGCAGAACATATCTAAACTGTTCTATCTTATACTAGTATTTAGGAGTGACATAGACATCTATTATTTCCCTGCAGTTCCCGAAAACCATCCAAATACACAGATGCCCTTAACAACCTCAAGATGGGCCAGGGAGTGCCAAATTTAAATGAGGGCATTCCCATGTATCAGAAAGACAAAGTCTACAATGGCATGTCAGAGTTTAGCTTTGAAGAATTACGAGCTGCCAGGTACTGGAAACTTCAACGTCAGAAGGCTGAGGAGGCAGAGAAAGGTACTACTATCTGTCTTCGAGGAATGGGTTATGACATTGGGAAACATTTTTATTAATGGATTATGTAAATTTGATTCCCTAATCTTAGCTGTAAGGAGCAAATCTCCACTTCTGAAATTATCGATATTGTTTCCAAAATTCTTCACCCTTGAAAATATTGGGCTTGGACTTGCTTGTGTAGTAATAAAATAAAAAGTGCTCTAATGGTTTTCAAATTCCATTAAATAAGGAGCTTTTTTTACTTGCAAAGTATACTTTTCCTTTAACCAATTTAGGCCTGGTTAAAGTTGAATTTTGGCTGTACTTGGTGTGTGAATCTCATTCTTTTTTAAAATTTTAGGCTCAGAAAGGCTAAATTTTAGCTCTTTAATTGCAAATTTTCTTCAGCTTCCGGGGCCCCGGACTCCCACCAAAATTTCCTCCATTTTGGTATTTTGCTGTTGGAAGTACTGCTTATAGCATTTCTGAATGAAACAAAACATTTAAATTGAACTGCATGATAGCCACAAGCTCAGGAAGAAGAGCCAAATATTTCTCTGCATATTTTGCTACTTTCCACCTCAATGATAAGTTCAGTATAGTAATCACTCCAAAATGTGCTTTGCTTTAGTTTGAATAAATAAGAGTACATTTTCTTTCATTGATACTGTTGACTGAATTCTTGGACTTTTGTCTTGTTCCTTTTGTTCTTTAGAGCAGAAAAGATTAAAGGATGAGGCCATGCAGAGACGTGTCCAGGAGATGGCAGAGAGGATGGCCTCAATGGAAGCATTACTTCAGCACAACCTTGGCTTGATGAATCAGAACAAGTAACTGGAACAACTTTTGCACAGTCTTAGGAAACCTCAAATATTTTTTAACAAGTCAAAAAGTCAGCGAAAGTTGCTGAAAGTACAACTCAGAAAAGTTTACTCGTATGAAAACATTTGCTTAATACCTGGTAGGAAATTTGCATTTTGCCAAGTATTGTTAAAAACAAAAAATGGATACAATTTTATTTGTGGAGAGACTGTAAAATCACTCTTGTGTATGCTGGTAAAAAAATTGTTTAGTTTTCCTGCTGATAACGAAAACAATTGTTCAAGCATTTTATCACACATACAGCTGAATGTTTTTTTGAATTGATGTATCATGTTTCTAGAACAATGATAAGTTAAATTCTTTAAAAAAATTTTTTTTATTGATCCACATACTATTGTGAAATTTTTAAGAGTGGCGTACATACATAAATACGTACATACACTCATTTATCAATGTTACACAATGCGTTGTCTCACTTCTACAGACAATCAACTCACCATTGCTGGCCACCACTGTGCAGCGCCCTGTTTTTGAGCTAGGGTTATATTATTGTGTATTGCTCAAGGACATACCCCAGTGACTACCCACTTGTATCCTATGATACTGTCATTATGCTTGATATTATTGTGAGACTGTTTACTGTTACTAAGCACTAAGCAAATATATTGTTCCTTTTCATTCTTGTGTTATTGTCTGTAGATTTCTCAAAAGAAGGTGGTTGGCGGGCTCTGTGGTGTGGTTTGTTACTTTTTATTTTGTGTGTTGTCATTGTCCTGCTCTTCTCCAGGCAAAATGTGACCTTTATGCTGACACACCATAAATACTTCTCAGATCAATGACACTTCCTCCAGTTAAAATGTCTGCTTTTACTCTATGTCTTTTGTATAGTGCCTAAATTGTTTGGTAGTTGAAGGGTGTCACTGGTGGGTCCTATTTATTTTCTATTCCTCTGTTGTTTGTATCTGTCTTACATTTTCCCAGGACTAAATGACCACTATAGTGTCATTGTGCTTCTTTCTACTCCAAAAATCAAACATGTCTAGACCGGAAAATGTGACTGGGCCGGGGAGTCAATTACCGCTGAATGAAGAAGACAGAGAGCTCAGTCTAGCTTCAGACAGACTTCCAGACCAGGTTGATCAAGAGATGACAGAAGATGGTCGCTCTCAGTCAATGGCAGGGAGCACTCATGACATGGTCACACCCACAAACAATGCCAGCAGCCTCTTTCAGACAGGTAGTTCTATCGCTTTCCATGCTGCCATTTATAGTTTTTATCTTTATTTTGGAATGGTTAATAAAGTCTAAAGACAGGGAAATTCAGTGCTCGTTTCACGGGTTGACGGAATTAAGTAATTTGAAGCTGCTGACATCTCATTCTTTTTTCTGTCACTAACATTTGTAATACACATGTATGCCAATACTTGGTTATTGATTGTTCTGTATGCTTCAACAGGGTATATATTATATCCTTAAAATTATTCAAGTATTAAAAAAGAAAATTAATTAAAATAGCAGCTGAATTTCCTCAAACAATATGCTCTTATCTCAAAGTAAAAATTTTCTGATAACTGGAATCTTCCTCTAGGTTCTTACATAAATGAAAACTTGCAATTTACATGCCTGTTTTTTTCAGAGAAATGAAGTTTCTTCGAATGCATTTTATCTTCACAGGAAAGCTTCCAAGCTCTGGAGGGTCACAGAATGCTAGCCTCAACAGCAGCCAGAGAACACCAATTTTCAACAGTTTATCCACCTACTCCGCCACCTCATCTGGGGGATCAAACAGCTCTACCTCCAACTTTTCTTTCTCTAAAGCCCATCGCGCCAATATGTCTGCATCGTCTGGGCTTCCTCGATCAAATCATGCTGCAAGTAGTTTATCAAGGGTTCCTCCAGTTTTTCCCCAAGACAGTTCTATGTCAATGCAGAGAAAAACAAACCCCTTAGAAATGTCCAAAGATTTCATAAGCTCTGTCCCAAATAGTTCTTTTTCCAGTAACTCTTTTGCGGAGCAAGGACGTCTTAACAGTACAGTCACACCAAAGTCAAGCGGCCCAACTCCCGAGAGCACAAGCAGCTTGACAAAGAAAGGGGTGAGTTTGGCTTAAAAGAGAATTGAGTCTTGTCGCTGTCTTTATGTCATGGCAAAGCAAGATAATAAATAATAATAATAGATAGCATTTGTATAGGGTAATTCTCGCTCAACCACAAGCTCTACGCTGGAAAAGGTGTGATCAGCAAAATTTGTGCAAAACAGAAACATGTGTAAGGTACAACAGAAAGGTTTTCCTCACATGGAAATGTTCTTTCTAATATAACGAATAAGTGATTGATTTGTGTTATGGTTTAGTCAGCTATTTGTTCTTCTTTTCAGTGTTTTTCCGCATCTGTTGCAGAGAAAAATGGCTGTTGTATTGAAATATGAGTCAATTAGTAGTCTCTGATGTAAGTTGAAGATTTTTTTTTCATTTTCCATTTAGTATGTTCCTCCTTCTCCCACGGTGATGACCAAGGAAGCTATGGCAGTTGTTCAACAGATGTTTAGCACCTCATTTGATAACTCCGCAGTTGTGACAGACGAGCTTGGATCTTTTCACAGCAATGGTATATAGCAGTTTTACAATTACAACTCCACAATTTTGCTTGATGATGTTGTCATTAAGATAGACTCTAGCACTTTCACAATTATTCTGTTAAAGGTAATCTTCCTCTTGATTGAACTGGACATGTTACAATCTAAGTCAGGAAATTATCTGTGTCTTTAACGACCTTCAACGGAATTTACATTTTCAAGTTTAAAACGGATTTGTTGAAACCTTAGTGAATCTATGTTGATTTGCACAGTTTCACTTTTAGGGCAGTTCTTAGTGTATCAGAAAAAGTTATTATACTGATAAAGTACGTAAGGTTAGAAATGACCTTGATTGCTATGAAACTTGTGATAGTTTTAAATGGGATGATTCTTGATAAGTTTGAACCTGTTTCTGAAGAAGTATTAAATAAGTAATTCGAAAAATTAAGATGTTATAATGACACTGTCCGAGACATCCGCCTGTCTAAAGCAACCACTTTTCTCATCAATAACGGGTGGCAGTCTCTGAAAATTTGGACTGTATATTTTGGAATGACTCGAATGATGAAAAATTTGCTCTCTCCTTTAAACAGCAAGTCAAGCCAACAACCCCCCAGGTGGTGGAATGCCTTTCCAGATTTGCGAAGACCGAACAACCCAGCTGATACAACAAGCCTCAGTCAGCAGCAGAGCTGGTGGGGTGGAAGTATTTTGTGATGAGCCCGGAGGCAAAGAAAATTCAGTGTGAGTTTCTGACTAGATTATTAGAAAGTTCGTGTACATGTATCTGGCTAGAGAAATAGAAAGTACTAGCATCTGACCAGAGTATTATTACATTTTAGAAGGTATAGGCTAAGTATTTGACTAGAGTATATGAAAATATATGTGTGCCTTATGTGGTTTGGGTATCCTGACAGGGTTGGTTAAAGTTTGATGGCTATCGTATTCCAGATCTGCATGAAGCAATAAGATGATTACTTTGGCTTTCTTTAAGATACAAAAAAGAAGGCTTTTTCTAGTAAATTATTAGTTGTGTTTTCACCAAAGCCGTTGGAATTTGCTTTAGGTGTTTGCTTTAAATGTTTGCTCTTTCGTTAGAAAGTGAGTTGAAAAGTTTGTTTGCTGTGGGAGATACTTGAAATGTACGACGAGTAGTTCACGTTGATTTAGAATGAGACCAGCCTGTGACTTCCAGGAACAGATAGGATAATAGTAACACTGACAAAAAGTGGAAGGAACACCACTCATCAGAACTGCCACAAGCCACCAGTAAGTTGTTTGGTAAAATTTTATTTTCATTTCAGTATGGGGTCAACCAGGAAAGTGATTGCTGACCAAGAAAATGACATCCCTGCAGCAATGACGTCAACAGGAAGGAAAGGTGGTGGTTTGCAGATCCATTGTGATGAGCCGATGGAGGGAGAGGATCTGTAAGAATATATTATTATTATTTCTTTGATTGGGAATTATACTTAATTCACACCTGCCAAACACTGGGTTTTTTTATCTATGGAAAAACAAATCGATCTGTACTAAGAGCTGAATTTTTTACTTGAATTTCGTTTCTGTGGGGTCCTATGCAACTATCATAAATGTCATGAATATACTTTTTTATTTGCTTGTATTTGCAATATTTGCGCAATTGTAGCAACACTTACTGTGAATACATGAAAATACATATTTTATTTGTGTGTATTTGCAAAATATTTATGACCTATGGTGTATGATTTGCCAAAACACATTTTATGTTATTGTATTTGCAGTACACTGTTATTTGCGATTGTTAGTTACTTAAGTAATCTTAATGTATTGGAGTTTTGGAGACACCATTCCTCCCCCCCGAAAAAAAAGCTCAGTGGAGTGTTTCATCTTCCCCATTTCCCTATATGGCGCTGACACTTGGACTTTAACAAAGAAAGAAATAAATAAAATGTTTGTGTTTGAAATGTGGTGCTACAGCAGAATGGCCTGAATTATCTGGGAAGCAAAAAAGACAAGCTATGAGGTGTGTCAGATAAATCCACACCAGACAAAATCCTGTCAAACAAACTGAAGAGTAAAAAAATACAATACTTTGGTCATATAAAACGCCACTTGACCATTATGAATGAAATACTCAAAGGTAAGATGTGGGCCACAAAGGATAAGAGTGTACAACGCACAATCTGGACTGACAACATCATAGTATGGACTGGGCTAAAACACAAAAATGCACGAGAGCAGCCAGCAACGTTAAACAATGTTGGGTCATTACACGTCAACTTCTGAGTCGGAGATGAAGCCTCCAGGTATTCTAGGTACTGAGGAAATCTCTATTTCTTGGTCATGGGATTGTTAGCAGGTCTGCTTACCTCCCACCTGAGGAAATTGTAGTGCTTCTTACACAGCGCATCAGTTGCCTGCTCGTGGAAATGTGAACAGAGTTGTATAGTATTTCTCATTGGATTAGCAGAGCCAGAAGCTCACTCAGACTAGACTGAGAATGCCTGTAGGAATTGTCAATCTTAACGCTATCCGAAAGCCTGGGGTCATTTTGTACCCCAGGGGTTGTATTCTTCACATTATGAATACTTTTAGTACAAAGATTTCTTTGAAACTTTCAGTATTTCTCAAAAAATCATTTTGACAGACTGCTTTGCGGATTAACGAGTAAAGTTCCTTTTTGGAAAGTAGGGGCACAGAGTTCCCCACATCGTATGGATACGATAGTAAAACACGACATATGGATAGGGTTTAAGAATCTTGAGTTTATAGGATGAAATTTGATGGTTGTTGCAAGGGCATACTGGATAAATAACAAATTTGTATGCAGAGTATTTGAAGGCATATGTGTTTGACTACAGTATGATAAAATACATGTATGCCTTATGCGGTGCAGGTACCCTGACAGGTTTAGCTGTTGTAAAATGGTTGTGTGGATTTTCTAAAGCTTCATTATCCGATTCCACATCTGTATTAGATAATTACTTTGGCTTTCTTTGAGTTTCAGAAAAAAAAGGACAGTTAATAATAATAATAATAATTGCATTTATATAGCGCATATCCATGCTCAAGAGCATGCTCTATGCGCTTTACAACTATTATTACCCCAGCAGACCCTCCGAGAACACTCAGAAACATACTCGGCTTCCGCGGAAGCATACAGTGCAAGCTGCGGATTTCATGCGCTCAAACACTATCAAACTGACAAGATCGTTCACTGTCTATAGCCGGGTACCCATTTCCACCTGGGTGAAGTGAGCAAAATTTGTGCAAAGTGCCTTTCCCAAGGACATAACGTCGGGCCCCTGACGGGATTCGATCCCATGACCTAACGGTTGCGAGTCCGAGAGCTTAACCACTAAGCCACCGACGCCACGTAGTTAACAATAAGTTTTGAATTGTATTTAACTAATGGGTTTTGAATTTCGTTTTGTAGCTGCTTCAAAAGTAGAAGGAACACAAACTCATCATCAGAACACCCACAAGCCACCAGTATTCTATGTATGAAATCTTTTTCATTTCAGTGTGAGATCCTCTAGGAAAGTGATTGCTGACCAGGAAAATGACATCCCTGCAGCAATGACATCAACAGGAAGGAAAAGTGGTGGTTTGCAGATCCATTGTGATGAGCCGATGGAGGGAGAGGATCTGTAAGAATGTGTTTTTTTGTTTCTTTGATTGGGAATTTTACTTAATTTATGCCTGAGGACATTGTTGATTGTTGTGCTTGTTGCACAGTACAGCAGTTACCTTCTCTTGGAAATGTGGACATAGCTTGGTAAAGGCCTACTTTCTTATTGGATTTGCAGAGCCAGAAATGTACTCACATTGGGAACTGAACATTTCAATGTCTTTACGAGAATGTCGCGAAGAAGATCCTCCATGTATTTCGAAAAATGTATGCACTGATAAGTCTACAAGGTGTGTGGAAGCATATTGTGTGTATACAATGTGTATATGGTATGTGTATGCATTGATGTGTCTACAGTGTATATGCATGTGTTTCCTACCAATTTAAAAAAAGTTATTTTAAAACACGCAATTGGGTATGTTCATCCACTGTCCAGAAAAAAGACCCTCTATTTTACCCAATTTTCAGTTTGCTTTAAAAACAAAAACGCCCTGAAGAATTGTGAGTTTACTTGATTAAATTAGGCGGTTATTTCAGGAGCACATAGAATGGGATAACAGCATGAATTCTCAGAACTGTGCTGCTGCTGTTAAATGAGAAATCCCTGATAAGTGCTATCAATGAATGTGAATTGGAAGTGGGTGGCCATTTTTATTCCTTTCATCTTAATAATTGATAGTTAATGGTAGGAAGACCCATATAATAAAAATGCTGTTTCCATTTGCTCCCCCCCCCCCTTCCCTCTCTCTCTCTCTCTCTTTCCCTCTCTCTCTCTCTCTCTCCCTTTTTTTCAGGAATGTGTGGGTATTTGCTGTCAGGATTTGACGACAGCATAAATCTATTATTTACTGTTTTATGAATGTTTGACCGATGTGTTAAAAAAAATGTGTTTCTTTTTGCTCATTTTCTAACTTCAGTTAATTTGACCCCTGTTTCTCTAATGTTTTTGTCAGAGTCAGGCCTCTAAGTGAAAAGAAAGGAGTGAGGCGAGGACTCGGTTTTCTGCCTGCTGCAGGCAGCTCTGAAGATGTTGAAATGACTGGCTTTGATAGGGAGGTGAGATACATGTTGTAAATGAACAAATACTGTCAGATCAAAGAAAATTTAAGACTATACAGCCCAAATTTCAATTTAGGCATTGTAGAGGAAGTGTTCAGTAAGTCTCTACCCAGACTATGGCAGAAGCAAGCTAGAAAGTTGAAATTTAGCGCTCACAATGTTACTTCTCTTCATATTCAAATTGACATGCTTTTGCCATAATTGTTTCTCCTTCAAAAGTCCTTGAGCATAATATGACCTTGGCTGGGACTGAAACCATTCTTGCACAGCACATGTAGCTCCTTCATCAGTATGGAAATGCCCTTTGAAAACTTTTTGTTCCTTTTGAAATATGATTGTATATTAGTATTTTAGCATGTATAAAATGGTAGCTTGCGCTGTATGCTTCCCAGGAAGTTGAGATTGTTTCAAAATGGTATCACGTCTGCTGGAGTAATGATATAGATTGTAAAGCGCATAGAGCTTGAGCGGATATTTTTGCTATAAAAATACGATTTATTATTTATTATCTTCAACATTCAGCTATGTGCTTTTCCCTTGCACTGTTGAGCTATCTTCCTTTCAAATGGATCTATAAACCACCCTGTGTGTTGTTCCCAGCTACACACTCTGGCCAATGACTTCACCATTGAGTGTCAGGCAAGAGACGACATGACCCTCGCTGCACTGGACAGCTTCAGTGTCCACGCTCATGCGGCCTCCACTCCATTTGCTGCGGCAGGGACAAAGTTGGTGAGCTAACTCTTGTTGTGGAATGAGAAGTACTTGGGAAATGTACAGAATTCTGCTGACTTGGAATATTTTAGACTGAATGTATGATATAAGACGCTAACTTTGTCACTTTTAGTCAAGTATGAATTAGTCAAGCATGTCTTGGATTGACAAATGTTGCTCAACACATCATCCATAATGCGGGGAAACTGATGTAACTAAAAAAACGTTTCTGTTGTCAGACAATTGTGTTTTCTTTTCTCTGCCATCATGAACAGTACCCGGTATTGATAAAGAGGTAGGATGGATAGTGCCTGCACCTTGTTTCATGTCGAAGCAAGAGAAAAATAAGAAGTATTGCTGATGTGCCTTATGACAAAAAAAATTGCTCTTGTGACAGAGAACAATGTAATTAATACCGTTCAGAAAAAGTCATCCACTCCTCTTGTGTAATCACTTCCTGATCCATGCCTTCACGTTCGAACAACCACACATACACCTGCTCAGAAAAACAAACGTAATTCTCACACCACATATCCCATTGCAGTGCCACACTGTGTCTTCAATCACTCCCCAGCCCACCACCTATCACCTACCCTCACAAAACTAGAATCAAGTATGGTTGGCTCATGTAATATGATACTCCTGATGACAATGGATGCGTTGTTTTGCTTCATGCAGTTGAACCAATTATATTACACCACAGATGCTGGTGCGGTCATTATGCCTAGACATGACTTGTTGTATTAAAGATTGACCAGCCTGTCTCTCTCTGTCTATCCAATCAGAAACAAAGAACCGAGCAGATCACAGAAGGTAATGGTTCAGCAGTGAGCACTTCTAGTGCAATGACATCTTCTACCTTTGGAGAGGGCATCCCCACGCCAAGCAAGCAGAATCTGAGGTATGATTCCTGGCAAACCCCTCCGCCTCCTGTGGCAAACAATGGATTTCGAATGTCAAGATAAATAACACTGTGAGAAAAGTGTTCTGTTACTTTTTATTTTATGCCTTTGTATTTATATAATATGCTAATCAGCTTTGCAATTGGAGGAAAAAAAAAATTGAAAGGAGTAAAATATATATAAAACTACGTGTTGTCTTCAAAACTGTTCTGTTTTCAGAAAGGCATATCAGGCTTTAAAAAAAAACGCACTTTTATATATATTTATATATTTATATATACAGTCAAACCTGCCCTGACGGCCACCTCTATAAGACGGCCACCTGTACAAACGG